TTTTTTCTTTGTTCTTAAATGGTTTTTCTACTTATTTTATCAAATATTTTACAGGCATGCATTTTATTTTGCAAATATGTGATAGTCCTTAAGTTTTTATATGCATTAGCGTCATTGTGCATATAGTTATTTTTTTAATTGCATTTGGTTGTTTTTGTGTTATATGAAGATTTTGTTCTTATTTAATGGACATCATAAAAAAAGAAGAAGAAGGCAGAGGTTTTCAATGGACATCATCAAAAAAAAAAAAAAAAGGAGGAGGAGGAAGAGGTAAGATGGAGACAGTTGTTAAATAAATAAAAGTAAATGAGTTGCAATAATTTTAAAAAAGGAAATAGAAAACTAATAGTTAAGTGAATTATATTATTTGATAAATCAAATTAAGATTAAAACTAGGTGGTGGTGTGAGAGTTAAATTAGGTATTATGAAAATTATATCTACAAAAGAATAGATTTTTCACATCTTTATTAGAAGAGTATTAATGATTGAGGGCATCTATAAATTTTTAAGGTGCAAATATAATTATTCTACCATTTTTTACAAACCGGTTTTGCAAGCTGGGTGAAGACCCAATGGATTTGTAATAAATGGTAGAATAATTATATTTGCATCTTAAAAATTTATAGATGCCCTCAATCATTAATACTCTTCTAATAAAGATGTGAAAAATCTATATAGAAATAACTGATGATTGTCCCATTTATTAAACTCAGTTAAATCTAATTACCAAGTAATTTCGTTCTTTTAGTTTTAGCCCCAAAACTAAAGTCATGAAAACCAAATGATATCAGATTCTTAAAGAATCAAACTTAATTGGAAGTGCTCACTGTTTGCAATCTCCAGTCAATTATCTTCAGTCAATTGTTGTTTTATAATTCTTTTTTTCGTCATAAGTTCATATTACTCCCAACCGAAGATCCGAAATTTAGAGCATCAATAAAAGTCATAAATGCATGCCCTCAGGCATGCACAGATGTGAGATAATTCCTTTGGATATATTATTTAATAATCATGTTTACTTGTCAAGTTTCAATTTAAATACCTACTATTCAATTTATAAAATACAATTATAATTTACATTGTAATATAGTTAGGAGGCTTATTGATCTTAATTTGGTCACATACATGAATCTGATTTTTTTTTTATTTGAGAAAAATTTATCTCACCTTTAACAAGTGATAAATTTAGTGGCAAGAGTAAAAAGAGAATAAATTTCATGAAAATAGAAAGATAATGAGAAAATTGTTGAACTTACTCTTAGAGTGTATGAATTTGTATTTCTATCATTTATTTTTTATTAATACTCTTTTGACTAATATAGTTATTTGACTAAAAAAGATATTAATCAAGAGTAAGGAATAAAAATTCAGACTCATGCACTTTAAAAGATATTTGTCTCTATATACCATAATAGAATTGCCAAGTTTGACTTCCTGTTATTATATTGCATCACTCCCTTTAATTTTATAGGACAATCTTTTTAGTGGGTCTGATATCAATTAACTCTCTGTCATTCATAAAAATAAAAATAAAAAATATTAGAAAGAAACACCTTCACATTTAAAAAAAATAAAAAAAATAAAAAAATAATTAAAACAAAACCGTTATTTTGGTAACCTGAGGTTGATGTTTGGGATATAAAAGGTCTTTTCTACCCTTCTACTGATTCAACCAAAATTTTAAACATCAAGAGATCTCTCTCTCGTGCAGGCGTCGTGCAGCGAAGGTGATGGGCTGGCATCACTTCTTGTTGGGCGCGACAAGGAATGGGTTCTTTTGGATATATACCACGGTGTAGATCGAAGGCGGGAAAGCAGAGCTGGGTGCCAACGGGGGGCCAAGGTCGTCGATGACGGGGGTGGAGAGATCTGAAAACCATATTTGTGTTTTTTTCCCTACGTTTTTTAGAAATTAATTTTTAGTTTTTATTTTGTATAGTTCTATTTAAGGATTTTTCATTTTTTTTTCTTTTATATTTTTTTAATATGTTTTTAGAGGTGAAAGATCAAAAGGACATTGTATGTTGCAATAATTAACCTAAGGGTATCGAAATGGTTTTTAAATGTGAAGATACATTTTTAATATTAACATTGTATGGTTTTTAAAGTTGTCTTTATCGTTTTGATTTTAAGAAATATGGTTAATTAATTGTTTGTTAGATTTGGTAGCTCTTACTATATAATAGGAATTAACTTAAGTAGGAACAAATTTAATCGTTTAAGATATCTGAATTTTGCTTAAAAACATAGTGGGATGTGTTTCTGGATTGACATAATTCTTCCTGGTTATCGTTGATATTATTGCTTAATTCACTTGATAGAGAGATCGACATGTTTATTCAAAGCTAGAGTTGCAAAAGTCAGAAAAGAGTTTTTGTTTTCAAAGATATGCATTAAGAATTAAGACACCTCTACTCTATATTGTCAAGAGCAACATCGAAGAAACGCAAACAAACAAGAAACACACTACACAGTGTTCCACTCTTGAGCTATGCACCCATTTTCAGCCGCCACAGAAATTCATTAAGATAAAGGGGTATTTGTCTTGATTGCATCTCTCCTTTTTATACCTTTAGAATTCCCTCAAATACTCTTGATTGCATCTCTCCTTTTTATTTTATTTTATTTTGAGGGGAAACTACATTTCCATCTTTTCACAAAACCAGTGATTCCGTAATATAATATTAGAGTCTTTATTTGGTTTTTTTTTCTTTTTAAAAATATCAGTGTTTCTCATTTTTTTTAACTATCAGATATGTAACAGAATCTATCTATTGTACGTATTTTTTTAATCTAATGTGATTTTGACTCTATCTGAGGGTTAAAAAAGTAAAAAATACCGGTATTTTTAAAAAGATAAGAACACTGAAGGAACTCTCATAATATTAACCAATAATGAGATTGGTGATAACTTCATCACATATTCAAACAATAAGGAACACCGTTAATGCCACTCAACAAACCACCGCGCATCGCTGTTCCATTTCCATGATTTCGCAATCTGGCAAATATACATCCAAATCTTCTAGTTATTTATCTAAGAGAGATATTATAAGCGGTATGACATTTCTTGTGAATTACGACGATCTAGTACCATCGAGTGTAGTGGCTTAGCCGCAATTGAATATCGTCAATGCTGTAATTACAAGTTCAAATATTGAGTTATCCACAGAAAATTACAGAATTTACTTTTAAAAATGTATGAGTCTGAATTTTTATTCCTATAATTATTTGATTAAAAAAGTTAATAATTAAGAGTAAGAGGTAGAAATCCTAATCATACATTTTTAAAATGTATATCTCATTTTTCATTATCTTTTAGAGTATTAAATATAATGGTTTATATACATAGCATATATATATATATATAAAGGCTTATATTTAAAGTATCTGGGATCAAACCTCATGATAACTATACCATTAACACATTTAATAGGGATGAGGTGACACGTTTCTTGTCCGATGGATAAAGACAACTTATAGAGCTTTCTGTGAATATTCTTGTCAAAAGACCCCTTTGATAATATCAGGAAGTATGCTAATATCGGTCGCCTTTTTATAAACTTTTTTGTTCATTAAAAAAAAATCAACTCTTAAATATTTTTGATGTTTATGTAATGCTACCAAACTATAAAACCAGACAGCTTAGCTAAATTCGGATTTTGTAATAATAATTATTAGCTAACTCATACTATTAATTAAAATAGTTATACGTGCCTACAATGTCCGACCAAATATACCATTTATTTCGTTCAACTAATCACCCCTTGAACTTTTTATTTTTATTTATTTATTATTATTCTTTTAAATTTGAAGGTTGGGGAATTTAAAGTACTCTCATTTTGTAGTAGAGTGATCGGGTGTGGAATTACAGTCAAGTTAGTTTTTGAAGTTTTATTTTGCAAAGAAGATAGCATTATTTTAAAATAAAATAAAAAACTGATATTCATGTTTTACATTTAATTAAAATGTCACAAATTTTAATTTAATGACCAAAGTGGCAAACCAAAATTTGCTGTGGTCCTTGAACGTTTATGATTGACACGAACGTTTCTTAAAATCTTAATTTGTGCTAAAATGATTAGGATTAAGATATACATACACACACACACATACCTCATCAGCTTTTATATATATATATATATATATGTATGTATGTATGTATGTATGTATTCACTATTGATGCGTCACTCCTGCCTATATTCCTTTTAAATTGAGCGATTAAAAGGCCATAATTTGTAATATTTCAGTGAGTAAATATAAAAGTCCCGTCGGTATTTGTAAATTGAAAAATAAGCCCAAAAACACTCACGGAAGAAACATTGACGATAATTTTCTAAGAAATACCCCATACAATTTTCATCATCACTTTTAATCGTGTCTCAAATCTAATAACAATCATCCGTGTGGCAAAATCATATGATGATCAATATGTCAAAAACTCAATCACAATCAAGAATAATCCTCTTTATGCAAACGTGACAAAAAGGTCAACTTTGATGATTCGTTTTTATTCTAGAATTCTAAACTCGGCAGACCAAGCCAAAACACAGACGTGCAAATTAATAACATGACAGCCTGCAATACGACAATAATATTTATATCTTCTCCATCTGAATATAATAATTAAAAAGTCCCAATTCTCAAACTCAGCACCTTTGCGAAATGCATGGCATCAACCATATGTGAAAATTTAAGCCTACAAAATCACATAAGTGTTAATTCATGGAAAGCACGTATTCAAGAAAGTGCCCCACCACATAGAAAACGAAACAAACACACACATAGAATTATATAAACATATATAGAAACATAAATGTAGAGTTCATACATATATATATATATATATATGATTCCAATGCTGATGATACTTTGTAAGAGAAAAAATTCAGTCTTATTCTCAGTCAAGAGAAGGGGTAGTAATATTGGAAAACTGTAGGGTTTGCACCTTGTAGAGTTTTGCTTGTTTGGTTACCGAGAAACTAGTGCCAAGAAAAATATGGGGAGAAAATATGGGAGATTGTGCATTGGCCGTCTGGGAGGCGCCTGTTTCCGCGTAAAACCAAGATCGAGTTCCTTCGGGTCAACCGGTCAGAAAGCCGAGTTTCTGAGCAATAACAATAACAATAGTACTAGTAGTGTTAATGGAGGAATATCATCATCAGAAGAGTTTAGCATGCAAAAGGTTGATGACCATGAAGAGAAAATTAGTGGGAACAAGATAATGATTGTGGTTGATTCAAGCCTTGAGGCCGAAGGAGCTCTTGAATGGGCACTTTCCCACACTGTTCAAAGTCAGGACACAGTTGTTCTTCTTCATGTTTCCAAGCCCGCTAAACAAGGTGAGATATAATAATAATAATAATAATAATAATAATAATAATAATAATAAGTGTAATATTTATAATCTTCTAATTAAGTAATTTTTGTCATGATGATTAGTACTCATCATGATGTATAAATGTCTTGTTTTTAAAGAGATGAAATTTAAGTTGGATTATTCTTTTTTTTTTTTGGGTGCAGATTCAAATGGGAAAGTTAATAATCTAAGGGTCACTGAACTTCTTCACTCCATGAAAAATAATTGCCAAAGGAAAAGGCCTGGGGTAAGTGTAATATTAATTGCTTCTAGATAATCAAAAAGGGTCTTTTTTTTGTCATAAAGTTTTGAAGCATCACATATTAGATGTTCCATCTAGACTAAGACAGAAACTTTATGACAAGTCTTTAATTAAGAAATTAACTCAATGGATAACCAAACATTTTTATTATTAATTATTTAACAAGTCAACTAATAATGCCTAGATTTGTACAGGTGCATGAATAGTTCAATCATAGCAATGCATTGCCAACTAGATATTATTCAAAAATAGACAAAAGATGCTCCAATATTAATAGTAGCTCGTTATAGCCTAACCAATGGTTTTCTGTTGAATATATATCTATCTATGGAGCCAATTATTAACCCCACTCAACTTATTTTGTCTTTAAAAAACACATATATAAATATATATTTTGTTTATATCTTCAATAGTTACATAGTCCCCTACTAAATATTAAAAATTTAATATTCTCATAATTTCACCTACCACCATCACATCACATCTCATCCAACCTAAACTTAACCCACTCTTGTACTTTTGTCTCATCTCTTAAGTTTCCCTTAAAACTGATAAAATTATACCTAATGTAAGAAAATACTTAGCCGACAGGAAATTCTAGTTTCTGACAATTCCTTTTCTACTGCTTATTTACGGTTCAATATTAATCCCCGACTACTTTGATAACACATTAAATTCTCACTCGCGTAATATTTTGAACTGTTTCAAATCTTGAAATTTATTCTAGACTAAACAAATTCTAAACTTAATTTTTTTTTACATTATATCCCGCGAATGACAATGTTACCGACGGTGTCAACTCCTGAGCTCACATTGTACCCTTCTACTATAAGTATTTTTCTCGTGACTTCAACCTAACTGTTCGGCAATTAAGGATTTTTTTGTACGCTGCTAACATTGTATTGTGCTTGGAGATTCTTGGAATTAAGATTCTCAAACTGTATATGCACTGAAAATTCTTCCGCCTTAAATTACGGTGAGAATTTATCGATCGAATCTATTTGATCGTAAAACATGAACTTAGCATGAAATCTACTACAAAATTTAGGAAAATTGATATTAATTCCATAAATCCTTCAGTCATAAAATATAACATAATATTTTCTAGGAAAATTTTTGACTTAAATGCATAAATTGTATTATTTAAAGTCTATCAGTCATTACAATATATATTGGGACAAGAGGATATGAATTATTACTATTATTATTTATTATTTATTTATTTTATTATTATCATTATTATTATTATTATTATTATTATTATTATTATTTAATTATTAGTTAATCCCAGTGACAAAAGTAATATATTTATATGTAGGTGAAAGTTGAAATAGAATTGCTCCAAGGGAAGGAAAGAGGTCCAATAATAGTGGAAGCAGCAAAACGACAAAAAGTGTCTCTACTAGTCCTTGGCCAAAAGAGAGAGAGGTCAGTTTGGTGGAGCCTAATTATGAGAATGAGGTGGTCAAGAAATGGGAAACGACGAGACGTTGCTGAGTACTGCATAGAAAACGCTTCATGCATGACCATTGCCGTGAGGAGGAAGAACAGGAAACTTGGAGGCTATTTGATAACCACCAAGCGTCACAAGAACTTTTGGCTTTTAGCTTGATCATTTGGAGAAGTGAATATATATGTTATATTGTTATGTTTTAATCTTGGTCATCATGAGATCAGTACTTTTCACAAAATACCTTGGTCCAAGTCTAACCATTGTTTTTTTAATGCAATAAGTCTAACCATTGTTAGAGGAATGCTAAATGAACTTGTGAGGGTCGGAAGTACACAATTTGGGCCGTTGGTTTTTGTGAATTTATATAAATGAACGACGATGATCTCGCATTCACGACACTTAAGAGTACATTTATTTTTTTTTTTTTTTTTTTTTTTTTTTTTTTTTTTTTTTTTTTTCCGGCCCCAGCAGTGTATACACAAGATTATTGATTATTGATGCTTTTGAGACATTTTTCCTCTTCCTTTGATAGGGAATATTCAATATAATGTTATGTGCAAATTGTACTTCTAGCTCTTAGAAGTGCATAAAAGCAATTTTGAGCACCAGACTTTCTATATGTCTAAGATGATAAATCTAATTCAAAGATATACGTGGTCTCCACTAAGTACCTTAAGCACCACTAATTTTATATTAGCACAAACAAATATTACTGGGAACAAGGGAGTTGATACATGGAAATTTAATAATATTCTAATCAAAGCCACGTAATAGTAATGTCATTATTCATTTAGGATATCGTTCATTTCATCAATTCGAATTTTATTATAGTAAAAAGTTCTCAAAAATAATTACATCTAACTTTTTTATTACAGTAAAAAGTTATACATAAAGTCACATCTTAATTCGAATTAAAAACTCAAATCAACGAATTAAATGGGCCTTTAATAAAGGAATGATTCCTTTTTGTCAATTTATCATAAAAAATTTTGCCGTATACCGAGATTCTTTTACTCTAATGTGCTTCATTCAAACTCCTAAAAATTCCCATTGTAAATTAAAGTCGACTCAACCAAGTTTAACTGTTAATAATTAGACAATTATTAGCCAAATGAATCATTTCAATTATTACCACATTTGACACAACATTTATGTCAATCTCTTTTCTATTGGTACGAAAATATTGAAGGGAAGAAGTGATGTTACATGATTCATCAATTCTGAGATTTTTAATTTTGGGTTTTTTTTTTTTTTTTTTTTTTTTTTTTTTTTTTTTTTTTTTTACAGGATCAAACCAGTTGCGTCCTCTTAAATCAAAGATCCGTACAATTTCATCCTATCTCATTTTGTTTGATCTAGTGGTCATTTAAATTGTAAGTTAGAAGAACATATTTGTATGTTCAGTTATAATATGAAACTTTTACCCCATGGTCCTAAAATCAATTCTATGTACCACCATTAACATAACAGTATATTAGAATTGTCACATAGATGATACCCATCTGTCATATTTTTTGTCATGTAACTTTTGTATTGAGCTATTACCACACGTATACTGATACATTACCATCATAACTAACAATGCTTTAAAGTTTCTTGTCCCATCTGATTTCATCCAGTACTTCTTTTAAATAGGGAAAAAAGAAGAAAATAAAAGGTATTAACATTTTGGAAAGAATGAATTTTACTTCTTTTGTACATAGTCATAACCATCAAATCTAGTGAGCTACAATTCAACCATTTTCGCAATGCTAACAATGATATAATGTAATTTAACTGTACAAGGAATATACATGTAAGATAAGCATTTCCTCCCTTTGCTTTCACAGCCTTTTATTTCTTTTTTGCTTCATGGAATTTGCCATTTCCAGGCATAAACCCACCAAAATGGAATACTAGTATACAGATCCAAATTCATGTCCAAATTTTCACTTCAAAACCGTTTGGCGTGGTTCGAGACAGTAACCGTGTCTGTATGCAATTCGGTGCAATTGATCATGTCCCGCGAGAACTCCAGCCCCTGCAACACCAAGGAGCATATTTGCGGTGACTCCTCGGTACAATGCTGTGAAACCTTCAAGGCGAAGGATCTCAGTGAAGGCATGAATCGCATTGCGATACTTTAAGGGTTGTCCGGAGGTCATCATCATTCTCCGCCGAAGAGTGTCAAATGGATATGCACAAATGCCAGAGACTGTTGTGATACTCCAGCCCAAAAAGAAACTAGCTAGAAAATTACCCTGCAGGAAATTATTAAAATAAAAATTACTAAGAAGCTCGGCTTCAAATTCATGAGAGCTTTTCTCTATTATATCACAATCATGCATGTTTTACACATGTAGATACGTCATATATCGATACATAGATATTGCTAATTAACAAATAGTTCCATGAACAAATTTGCAAAAATATAACGAACCATAAATGGAGATGTGATATATGTCTTCACAAAACAAATCTTCAAAATCATTTGACCCACAGATGTTTTTGGTACTGTTATCCAGTTTTCATAGGAGGCCTAAATCGCTGTGTGCTAGTGTCATATTTCCGGACAAACTTTATTTACCAAAGTCGAGATCAAATGCTTTTAATTAGATGTTAAGATTAAAATTAACTACTGCTTGAATTTATAACACATATCAAGCAAACAATTCCAGAAGACGACATGATTACCTCAAATGGACCAACCAAGACGATAGGCTTCACAGTGTCATAAATCCCAAAGTACATGCCCCGGTATAGGGTGATTCCAATTATCGAAACCCCAAATCCTCGATAAAGGCCTACTATTCCGTCACTTGATAGGGTTTTTCTGTAAACATCTATCAACCCTTTAAACTGGCGCTGACCATTAACTGAATGTTCCCTTGCATCTGTTGCTAGGCGTGTACGTGCAAAATCTAAATGATATAGAAACAACGAGGTGGTTGCCCCTGCAGCACTTCCTGAAGCCAAATTTCCAGCAAACCACTTTAGGTATCCATCTTTCTCTTTTGAGCATCCAAAAATGCTTTTGAAGTAACCTTTGAACGCAAAGTTGAAAGCCTACGGATAATCCAAAATCTGGTAAAAAAATTGGTAGCATTGTAATGTGCAGATCAAAAACCCAACAAGTGGAAAGCATAAAAGATATTATTGAACAATTTGAATCATACTCCTCATTATAGCTTACAGACATCCTTACATATGGATGAAAAGCCAAAAAGGAAGGCGCGTATGAGTATACAAAAAACAATAATAATTTCAGTTGAATAATTTGAGTGATACACATCCTTACAGCACACCGATTTGGAAGTACGTAATCAGGGCCCTAATATCAACTTAGTGTTGGCTGCTCCAACATAATGTGCAGCATGAACATATGGTACAAAAGTCAAGCATGTGTTGTTATGCTATAAGATCACATCAGCACCATAAAACAAGTTCATCTTGATCTTATTTGATGCTAAATACTGATATAACTAAGTTCAAATAGGCGCCACAACAGGTGTAACCAAGTGGTGAGGCACCGGAATAAGAAGATGAAATTCTGTGTTCGGGTCCCCCTAGAAGGACCTTCTACATTCTTAATAGAGAGGCCATGGATTGTATCATTATTGCCTTTGACAAAGAAAGAAGAAACTAGTGAATCACTGATCATTTACGAGGACATGAGCAACATAATTTTTTCTGCATTAACGAATGACAGAACATTATGACAAGAAAAGCACCGGAAACTTTACTAAGGATAAAAACAAAGGCAAAGGGTTTTCACACTAAATATGGAAAACGAAAGAAAATCGTCACCTACTTAAAAAGACGTACAACGTCATACGAATGAAAATCTCACAAAGAAGCAACACACGCTTAAACATGAAAATCCATGTAAAGCAGGGCATTGCAAGAAACGCCTCAATATAGCATCTCATTCAGCGTAAATCAATATGTAGAACAAACTAATGATTCCTACTCAATGTACTTGAGTACACGAATCATAGTTGGAAAGAAAATGGCAGTTCAAAAATTATAATCAATATACTTCAACAGGGAAATGAAACGTAAATAGAAGAAGCTGAAAAGGTACCTGAGTAGGGAAATACCGGATGACATTAGCTTGGTTACCTCTCCAGAAAGACAAAAGACCTTCCTCTCTTAATACCCTTTTAAAGCAATCACCAACACCAACGTATGGCCTCCTAAGCTGCCCTCTCTTTATCAATTCTCCTTGATTCTGAAGCAAAAGCTTCACCCTTTCTATGGGAGCCGCTACGCTTTTCGCAATCACTGCTGCTGCTCCTCCCATAGCAAAATCTGCTGAGAACTTCTCAGATTGCCTTTTCATTGCCATTTCTATAAACCCTGCAATGGATTTAAAAAAACAAAAAAACAAAAAACAAAACAAAAAAACAAAAACTTCAAAGATTCAATATGGGAGAAAAACTGCAAAATAAAGGTAACAACTAAGAATTCATCTAAAATTATGACACAAAATTACACAAGAAAGAAGAAACAAAAGAACTCAAGAAAGGAATCCTTCTAACTCAGCATAATCAAGTTTAGAGTAATGTCTCTGAACTTCTTCAATGGAGAAACGCCATAAAGAAACCAAATTCAGTTCCATCTAATACAAAATGCATTTACTCAGAACACTATTCACAACACTTTTTTTTAATATATACGAAGAAACATGTCAAAATCGAAAATCAGCAAATCTCTAATCAAAAGCAATCCTATTTACTTTTAAATATCAATTGAATCCAGATATCTATAAACAAGAAAATCAAGAACGCCCAAGAAACGAAAATCATGAAAATTCCCCAAACAGAACAAGAATGCAAACAAATTTTACAGGCAAACCCAATAACAAAGCTAAAAAGAAACAGGAGAATAAATAAAAGTTGAGTACCTGAAATTTATTGAGACGTAACAGTAAATGAAAGTGAAGGCTCAATGTGTTTTCGGACCAAACCAAATTGAAGATGATAGGCTTAAGCGTTAGTGGTTTACAGTTCACAACAACAAAATACAAATTTCAAAACAAAAAGGTGTTTATTGATAAATGAATTTAAATGAAACTGAAAATCAAAGGTTTGGTGAATTTGAGGAGGAGGGTCAGTGTCCAATGGAGGAAATTTGAGGGGGAGGGACGGCCGTTTGGGGGTGAATTCATGGCCTCCAAAGCTTCGAGGCCACAAACGTATGAAAACGACGATAAAACATTTATAATTATTGTTAACTTTTAATTTTTTTAATATCTATTTATTTATTGTTTGTACTTTGTACTTTGTTCTGGCAATGTATTTGGTTGATTTAAATTTTTCTAAAATTTTGGATTATTTTTTCCTTTTTTTCCTGTTTCCGTTCTGTAGTTTGGATTTTCCTCTTGAATTTGACGGTTCACTAAAAAAAATGTCAACAACGAAAAAAAAAACAGATTTGTTCTCTAACTTTTGAAAGTAGTCTTAAAAGGGAACTATATACCACAAGACTTTCCTTTTGATAAGATTAGTTCTAATCATGGTCAAAATTATATTAAATAAAAAGTATATAAAATAAATAATTTTTTATACATTAAATAAAAAAATATGTAGAATAAATAGTTTTTTATACAGATTTAACAGTTAAAAATAAATTATCGATAATTTATTTTTTTATCCTATTAAAGAAACTCCTCCTTAAATAAACTAAAAAATGAAGAAGAATCTGACAGCGTGCGTCGTCACCAGAGACATAAGGCTCTTAGGGAGGGCTGAGATGGGTTGCGTAAGCTATAAGGCTCACGACGAGTATGGAGTTGCTTGCAAGGAAGATATTAAACATGTAGTGTGGTAGAACTGCAAGTTTGAACTAAGCTAAATTGGCAATCCCAAATCTCAGGTTGAGTTGGGACAATGATCTATGCTCGAAACCATTTTCAGGCTGACTTTAAGTCTTTTATTTGATTTTTATTTGATTTTTTAAATTTTACTTGTAAAAATCTAAATTAATCATGGCTTGGCCCTACCCAACTTTAGGACCAGGTTGAGCCGGCTTTCCTCTTTTTACGGCTGATTCTCCGGTCTGAATATCTCTTTTGAGCCATCAATCGGATTGGACAGTCCAAACTTTCTGCTCTAAGTGTAACTAGCCTGTTGGCTAGGTTCAAACTTCAAAGCAATTGGAAAAAATGGTTAAGATTAAGATTATATAAAATTTATGGTCAAGATTATTTTGATGTTTTTTATGGATATTTTTAAGCTTATTTTTGTAACTTCACTCTAAAATAAGGTCATGTGCACCACACGTAAATAATTTCGTTAAAATTTGACGGAAAGTTGACTATTGGAACACCATTTTTTCAATTTAAAGGTAGTTTTACCTATAGAATTAAGGAAGAGAGAGTAATTTTGTAGGGATGATCAGAGAAAGTCCCTAAAATTAAATTGAAATATTTTTTCTCAGTCTATTGTTCTTAGATTTTGCTTGGCAATACTAATGTTAGTGTTTTTTGTTTGTGGAGTCCAATATAATCTATCTTTTTTGAGAAAATTGGCAAATTCACTCTTTAAATGTATTGTTATAAGATTTTTACACTTTACTCTTAATTAATATCCTTTTGACTAATATAGTATTATAGTTTTTTTACTAAAGGATATTAATCAAGAGTAAAAAGTAAAAATCTAAAACCCCTGCATTCGTAAGAGTATTTGTCTCTTTTTTCTATCTTCCTTTGAGTTTCATTCGAGTTTAGTGATGAAATATATTGATATTGTGTTTTCTATAGCATAATTTTATATTTTGTGAATTAGTGTTTGTATTATCCTTTCTTATTTTGAAATTTATTAATTTAAACCGCGCCCGAAAGATTTCATAGAAAATTTTAATAGCATTTTGTAAAACATTAATAAGGTAGTATAAATAAAATTTTCAAAAAAAAAAAAAGTAGAAAAGTGAGAAGGAAAAAAATGATGGACCAAAAAGATGTAAAAAAAAGGACTAAAAATATGTGTGCATGTTTCATCAAAACGCCAAAAGCAAGAAAAGAAAGGGTGAAATGTTTCATCATCTGAGGAGATCCGTTGAAAAAGGGATGTTATATATGTATGTATGTATGTATGTATGTATGGATGTATGTATGTATGGATGTATGTATGTATGTCTGTATGGATGGATGTATGTATGTATATATGTACGTGTGTATTAAAAAATTATTTATTAGGTACATATAAAAAACATAGTTGAGAAGGTCGCTTCAAAAAAAGTTTAGATAAGGACATATGCGATAATAAATTGTTTTAATGGGACAATGAGAAAAAAATATTTATCAGAGGCGCAACTAAAAAAAAGAAAAAAAGAGAATGTATAGTAAGAAAATATAAGTAAACAATTAAAAAATGGGGGGATAAGTAAAAGAAAGAAAAACAAGTAAACAAAAAAGAAGTATGGACGACAAGTTTTATTAATGTGGAGAAAATTCCTTGAGTATTATAAGTGTAGAATGGATACAATATGAGAATAAATTATTTTAACATGGATATTAGAGAGAAAAAATATTTATGAAGGTAACATATTAAAAAATGAAAGAAGAAGATTGCAGAGTAGGAGAAGAATAGGTAAGAAGAGTCTCTATTGCTTTGTATTTTAACCGTTAGATTACTTAGAGAGTAATTTTATGCAGTGTATTGTGAAATTTTAATACGTAGTTATACAAACTTAACTGTTAAAAACTTAATTTAACGATTAAAACATAACGAGCGAGTTTTTTTGAAGAGTTCTTACCGCTGAAATATGGAAGTAAAAGGAGGGAAAAAAAAACCTCATTTGAAACGTTCGGCACCGTTAGTAATGGACAACTACAAAATAACATACGACATGTCGTTTTAACTTATCATGTCAAAGTAGGCCGCAACCGACAGCCGAAAGCACGGTATATTTTTGTTGATTTTGCAATTTAAGATCTCAAAAGCACAAATCGCAAATGAAAAAAAGGAGATCTGTGTATGTATTTGCAAAGGCGAGCATTAGAACATGTACGAATCAGGTACCCCACATCACATTGATAAGTAGAGATCCTACTCATTAGTCATTTATTGTACATTTTCAACTTCAGTCAATCTTGAATTATAAAATAAAACGATATACTTACATATCCGTTTGATCTTCAAATTAAAAGGGCATTTTGTTACTGATTGTAGGGGTAATTATATTGATGTAAGCTAAATTTATCGGTAAATTAGATCCCAAACTTTTAATTTGACAAATGAGACCCTGAATTTGGATATTTGTTGCAATTTTGATCGATAGTTAATGGAGGTTAATTAAATGGACGGAAATGCACCCTAACATTTTCGCTACTTGGAAAGTTAGATCCTGAGCCCCTAATTATTGTCCATTAGTTGTCGTTTGTTACTGATTGGACGATATTGCTAAATATTTTGAAATTTAAGGTCCCAAGTGTTAAAATTAAAAGTTTAGTTTCGAATCCGATGTGTAAATGACAAAAAGCCCATGGGTGCAATTTATCCTTTGTTTAGGCATTCTTATTGTATTCTATTATATTATATCCATATATTGATAATTGTGTTTTTAATGATTTCTTTTGATAGAATTCATATCATATTAGTTTTGCGTTGGTTTTTTCATCTAACCATGTTGTAGGATGGAACTTCGTTTTCTTTATTATTATTATTATTATTATTATTATTATTATTATTATTATTATTATTATTTGTATTATTATTTGTATTATTACTATTATTACAACAAATTTTATATACGTATCCTTTCCTCTAGAATGACATCTGATTAAGCGTCTTGGGCGCTTTTTAGCCTAAAAAAATGTACAAGTTAATACAAATAGTGATTATTGACACTATTGTGTAATTTTAATCTTAACATTTTTCTACTCTTGATTTGCATTCACATTGAGCTTGTTTGCTAAGAGGGGGGAAAAAAAAAAGATGAAAAGAATTCGGTGGATAATTTCAAATCCTTTAAAAAAAACTACAAATTTAATCACGCTCAGTATATATGAGGGGATCAAAAGAGAAAATTTATGCTAATCAAGGCCCTCTTTTTTCTCTCTATTTTTCTTACCTAGGACATATACTTGTATTTTATTTGTTTATTTTCTTTCCCTCCGAGCCAACGCACATCCAACAATTTCCTCTTTCAGTTTACTTCAAATATAAAAAGGTTTTATTTCAAATTTTATTAAACCAAACATCGGTTACATGGAGATTACATAGAAAATGACATCACAGGCACTTTTACTCAATGATGAATAAGATTCTCCTACCAAAGACAGCCAAAGTTAAGATTATAGTTATGAAACCAATCTTTTTAGAATTGATAGCTTATTTGCCTTACTCAAATGACAGTCAAACTAATAGCCTTTTATATGATAAGCACACAACGGTAGTTAAGGTTCACCAAACCCAACATTTTGCATTTCTTTCTAGAGTTTGGTGGAAACCAATTTAACCAAGATATATAAATATAATAGTGTTTTAAGTGCTCAGCAAAGCACCAATATTCAAGTTGGCATGTTTACCGTATAAAAACGACCCGTTTAGTTCGCTGATTTGAGTTTTTAATTTGAGTTGAGATATAATTTTATGTGAGAACTTTTTATTATAATAAAAAAAATTAAATTTAACTGTTTCTGAGAGTTTTTTACTGTAATAAAACTCAAATTTTAAATTAGAATCAGTGAAATAAACGGTGAGTATTCCCTTTCTCCTTTCTAGTAAGGTAGAGCAACAAAATTAGGAAATAATGCATTCGGAACACTAATAAATTTCCTACTGAAATTTAAGGGAAGAAACGTACAAAACGCTGCAAGGAAAACAAACTAAGGGGAAAAAAATAAAGTGGATACTAAAATTTGAGGGGATGCAACCCAAAAAATAGAAAAGTGAGAGGAAATAAATAAAAAAAAATTAAAAGATGCAAATAGAAAAAGATAGGACGACAAAAAAAACAAAAAAAACAAAAAATAAAAGAGAAAAAACAAAAAAGAAAAAGAAAAAAAATGGAAAAAAAAAATGGAATAAATTGGGTGATGGGGGAGGCGGCCTCCCTAAAACGGATTCTCCTTTAGGAGAATGTAGAGATTATTTATCCGCTCTTTTCTTCAGAAAAAATCAAGAGATGAATCGATGTTCATCTATCTAAATTATATAAATATTAGAAGTCATATGTAATTGTATGGTTATTCAAAGACTAATAGAGCATAATATTGCTATTGTCCAATAAAAAAATAAGTTTGGGATAAAATGCCCATTTTTCCTTGAAAGATTTTCTCACGTCAAACTTTATGATTCATTGAAAGAAGTATTTGAAAGAAAGTACAAAAATCTTTAAGAGTTGATTTTTTATATACACTAAACAATTTATTTCATTAAAAAAATGCTTTTTTAGTTCATAAAAAAATGCTGATTTCGTTTTTTTGTTTGTTTGTTTTTTTCTGCAACTGTGATATTAGATTATTTCAGTGATTAATTACAGAAATAACGTCATTTATTGTGCCTATTTTTGGTAATACTTATGACTTATGCTTAATAAGTATGGTACTATAAACGTGACTTTAAAAAAATCAAAACTATTTCTATTTTATAAAATATTTGTATAGTGCTATAAAAAAGTTAACCAAGAAACTTTAATGTTGGGCACTAAGCATGAATATTTTGTGGGCAGTAATATTAATATCCAAAAATGATCATGGTTTTTAATGCATAAAATTCAAGTCATTGGTGGTGCCTAAAGGGTTCTATACTGTCCCGTGCTCAGTATCATGTGCCTCTCTACTTAGGGCCTAAATTCCCTTTTTATTATCCTAAAAACAATCCCTTATATTATTTTTTTTTAAAGTCCCTTTTATTATTCTCATTATATATATTTTTAAAATATCATTATAAGGTGTTAAATATTAAATCTGACTAAAATCATATTAAAATAAAAAAATAGAGAGCTACTAATCAGATCCAATGAATTAAAACAAACACTTAGCGAATTTATATTTTTAAGGCCTACCATAAAAATCTAATATTTTTTACAGAACCAAAATCTCATATATTTTACCCTTCCCAAAAAAAAAAAAAAAAAAAAAAAAAAAAAAAAAAAAAAAAACAGACGAATATACATGCATTGTTCACACATTCACAAGAGCGTTAGTTTACTGATTTACTCTCTCTCTCTCTGTTTTACGCGGATCACCGTCACTCCTCTCTGGTTCTTATTATTCCCCAATTTTCATTGCTTTCCCATCTTCGATTCTGAGCTGCAAAAAAGGCCCTGTCTCACTGATTGTTTCTTCTCTCCCTCTCTTCAACTCTTTCCAGATTCGAACTCATAAACCAAAAACAAGAAGAAGACGAATTGAGGAAGATATCGATTCAAAGTTGCTAACTTGTTGATACTAGACGCTACAAGTTGAGATTTTGATTGCTGGGTCTGTGACCCAATTGAGTGAATTCAACGGAGTTGATTGGTATGTTGAGAGTGAGAGGCCTTTTGGCCTAATTTCGTTTTGTACTTATTTTTGGGTTGAGTATTGGAAATGGGTCGATTTGAATTGTTGATTTGGTGGTGAAATTGGGGGAGGGAGTCGTCGAAAAAGATGCGGCGGCGGGCGGCCGATTTTCGGCGCCCGGTTCGGAGGCGGTTTCCGAATTGGATCTGGGTGCTTCTTGGGCTGTTATCCATTGCAGGACTGTTCTTGTTCGTGCTTCACCATAACCAGAATGAAGATCGGGTCCAACAGCCGGCATTGGTAAGAATATGGGAATACCCTTTTCTTGGTTTTTGCTGTTTTTCGAGTCTAATTTTGTTTTCAATTTGATTAAGACTGATCTTGGTGCGTAGGATTGTGATGTGTTTGAAACTGTGTTTTTTGGATTGAATTTAATCTTCTGCTGAATCATTTGTTATGAATTTTGGAAATGGAGAATTGGGTATTGTTTGTAGTACAAGTTTAGAACTCGTTGTTTCTAGAGGAGGCTTTGTGCTTGATCACAAATTTGGTTTCTGACTTTGATTTATTGAATTATTGGTTTAAATGGGACCTTTGTAGTGCATTTCTAGTTGGTAGACGAACTAAAGCATCATTTAGTTATGCCCTTTACAATGTGCTTCTCTATGGTACTAATCTTATTGATTATTCAGGCCTTAGAGAAGATTCTATTAGTGTTGCATCTCATAGAGCATTGAGCAGAAGGAAGCTAATAAAATTTTCTTATTAGCATCACGTACGGATCACATACAGATCGAATGTGATCTAGGTCACTTTGTTTGCATGTCTCTGTGTTGGTTTTTATAATGCATGAATTTCGCAAATGTAGCAGCATTTGCACACAAAATGGGATTATGGTCCTATGGAAAATGAGTTTTGTACAGTTTTTTCCCTAAGTCTTAACAGCCAAAAGGTTCCTCTGCTTTGAAATTTCTATCGGAATAGGTCCTGTCAAAGGGGTAGAATCTGCTTATATTTTTTGTGAAAGAAAATAAACATTCAAACTTCAATGAATCATTTTGTGATTTGAAAACATCATGCATTCACGGTCAATAGAAACAAATATTTTTTTCTAGAAAACTGCTCTGTTACATATGCAGGTCACTGTTTTAACAAAATTAGTGGACGGCTCTATCACAATTATGTTCTCATGTATGCGTTGGATTTGCAACATTCTGAAATAGAGTCATTCATCAGCGGGACATAGACTGTTTAACTACATGGTGATTTCAATATAATTGGCAATTATATGTGGCCTTTATTTTCTCTACGTGATATTCATCATGAAGCTTGTTATTTAAAATTCTGTACACGTGAGCTTTATGTTCTTGAGTATTAGATCCATTCTACATGAGGCTTCTCGCTTCTGCAACATGGTCTCTTTTGCATAATAAGTATGGCCTCTCGGGAGGGTGGGATTTTTCCATTTTTTTACCATTATAATGAATTTTAGTTTTGGATGCCAAACTGGGAACTGTATCATATTCTTATCAATCTTTGATAACACATATATGATATTCATATATGTCAGCATTGTAGGGGGCTACATGCAATTTTAGGTTATTTTCTTTATATATATATATATATAATAAATTGTGGTTTGCAAGTTTAGGATCTTTTTATTCAACCATTTTTATTTGCAGAGCTCATTTATTTATTCATTGATAACTGAAGTTGGAAAAAGATGTACCACATACTATAACTTTCCTGACCAGTTGTACTTAAGTGATCCCCTTATTCTCGGGACATGAAATGCTCTACAGATTTGATGATAGTTAATAATTGTAATATTCTAAATGAAAATTTTGATGGTAGCTTATGTAAAGTTTGAGATAAAAAGATTTGGAGGAATTTTCAAGGACGGCTACGAGTTATGAATAAGAGTCGAGAGAGAGTTCATGTTATTTCAAGCAGTTCAGAGAGATGTACTTGTCTGCACTTCCTCCTATGGTTAAGCTAAATCATGATAGAGATGTGTCTTTGCTAGTTAAGAGTATGATTAAAACGTGTTAACGATAATTATCTGCAGATTTAGCAAGCCTTTGCTTAACCAAATTAAACTATGGATGAATGTAAATCTTGATCAGAATTTAACAGAGTCTCTTTACATTTTTCATCCTTGTTTTATTGAGAATGTCATCACTTCTTTGACAAAACATTGTAGGTTGCATTTCTGTGGTTTAAGGTATCATGATTCTTGACTTGATTGATGTCAATATTGCAAGTGTTTATTGGCTTGGTTGATGTCAATATTAAAAAAGAGAGAGTGTGCGTGCGTGCGTGCATGCGCGCGTCTGTGAGTGTCTCTTGCAGTTGTGTGTGTGCACGCGTGTCCCTTTTTTTTTTTTCCTTTGCGAAGCGTCTCGTGCAGTTTATATTTGGTGCTTTCAGCTTTTAATACTGGCTGTTAAATGCATTCTTTCTACCATTTTGTGCGACATAGCTACTTTGGTTGATTTACTTGTGTACCCATTGAATCTTTTTCTGATTGTGCTTTTTGAAACGAGTATTTCTCGGAGGATAGAATTTTGTATGATTAATTAATTATCTACTGCTTGATTAACATCTGACATCCAATGTCAGGAGAAGAACACAAGAATGGAACAGGTTGCCCGTGAAGATTTAAATTTTACTCAGGAAATATTAAGCGCTACCTCATTTTCCCGGCAGTTGGCAGAGCAAGTAACACTTGCCAAAGCATATGTCATTATTGCCAAAGAGCATAACAACCTCCACCTTGCTTGGCAGCTTAGCTCAAAGATCAGAAGCTGCCAGCTCTTGCTTTCAAAAGCTGCCATGAGGGGTGAGCCTATAACATTAGAGGAAGCAGAATCAATAATTAAAAGCCTATCATCTCTAATATTTAAGGCACAAGACGCCCATTATGACGTTGCAACCACAATAATGACAATGAAGTCTCACATTCAAGCCCTTGAAGAACGAGCGAACGCAGCAACTGTTCAAAGCACTTTGTTTGGCCAATTAGCAGCTGAAGCGTTACCCAAAAGCCTCCATTGCTTGAATGTTAAGGTCACAGCTGATTGGCTTGTGAAGCCTCATCTTCAGGAACTTGCAAATGAAAAGAGAAATTCTCCGCGGCTTGTGGATAACAATCTTTACCATTTCTGCATACTTTCCGATAATGTGCTGGCCACTTCAGTGGTTGTCAATTCTACTGTCTCCAATGCCGAACATCCAAAACAACTCGCCTTCCACATCGTCACAAATGGAATCAGCTACGGCGCAATGCAGGCTTGGTTCCTCAGTAATGATTTTAAAGGGTCCACGATAGAAGTGCAGAATATTGAGGAACTCTCATGGTTGAATGCTTCTTATGCTCCTATTGTCAAACAGCTTCTCAATCCAGATTCACGGGCCTACTACATTGGGGGGTTTCAAGAATCGAACACTGAGATGAAATTGCAAAACCCCAAGTATCTGTCTTTGCTGAATCACTTGAGGTTCTACATTCCACAGATCTATCCACAGCTGGAGAAGGTGGTTTTCCTTGATGATGACGTCGTTGTCCAGAAGGATCTAACCCCACTTTTCTCATTGGATCTGCATGGAAATGTTAATGGAGCAGTAGAAACTTGTCTTGAAGCCTTTCACCGGTACTACAAGTATCTCAACTTCTCGAATTCAGTCATCAGCTCCAAAATTGATTCCCAAGCATGTGGATGGGCATTTGGCATGAATGTATTTGATTTGATCGCTTGGAGAAAAGCGAATGTAACTGCTCGGTATCATTACTGGCAGGAGCAGAATGCTGATGGGACGCTTTGGAAGCTGGGGACACTTCCTCCTGGTCTTCTTACCTTTTATGGTCTGACAGAACCACTTGACCGGAGATGGCATGTGTTGGGATTGGGTTATGATCTGAACATTGACGATCGTTTGATTGAGAGTGCGGCTGTCATTCACTTCAACGGGAACATGAAGCCATGGCTCAGGTTGGCCATCGGCAGGTACAAGCCTTTGTGGGAACGGTATGTAAATCAAAGCCAACCATACATCCGAGAATGCATCACAAGTTAAAATGGGCTACTTCTTTCTTGCTTGCCGGGACTTTATGTGATCCTCAATCCTTTTAAACTTCCAACCTGGGATCAAACTATTGTAGAGTCAGAAGTAGAAAATTTTGACTTTGTTAGGGAGCTATCCTTTTCTTTTTTCCATTATAGTGTTTTTACAAGAGAAAAGATTTCTTTTTATACATTAGAGAGCTTAAGTGTACTAGGAGAAGAAAGTGTGGGAGATTCATTTTTGGCTGGTGGGGGTTTTGGTTTATCCCCTTCTAACCAGCTGTTGAATTATTTGTTCAGCAATTCTTGTAATAATTATCATCTCGTTTTAAGTTATGTTGTAAGAAAAACATTTTCCCCCTTTGTTCCTCTTAACTTTGTGCCAGAGAAATTCAGTCATTATGTTGAGAGAAATTTCATGCTTGTTGGTTTCCTTTTAAGAATTACATTCTTTGGCGCAATATTGTAGCGAAATGACCCTACTGATAGACTGTTATCACAGAAAGCACACCTGTTTGTTTCACAGGTTTGAACCACAATTCTCAATTTGAACTAGGAATCTAATCCACACTTTCTTTTTTCGAAATCTGGATCACACTCATTTTCTTTTCTTCCCCCAAACACCAATATAGATTAGATTTCCCGTTATAACAGTTGGTTTGTAGTTTTGTTAATCCAAATTCGCAGGAGCCCAGAGAGGCAAAGATCATAAACTACTTGATTTTCACAATGATGTAACAGCCTGTTATGATGGAACGTTTCACTAATTTCATTAGACTCAGAGTTGCTAATCTTGTTTTAGAATGCCACTGACACTCATTTAGAGACACTCAATTTTTTCGGTTGTACTATATGATAGTCGTTTCCTGGTCCTTGGCTTGAACTTACCAACAAAGAGAAGAAATTAAAGTTGCAAGAAAAACTAGCTAGACATTACTCATGATTGACACATGCACGTTCTCTTTGTACTTGGAAGAAAATTAAAACGGTCCCAACATAAGATTTCCAACCAAATAGTTCCTTGTATTATTAGTCAACCAAATTGAGGATGGTAGACAAATTATCAGACACAAGAAAAATCTAATGCAGGAAAACCTTGCAGAAAACAAATTCTCACGTTGAAACAACTTGAGCTAATCAAGAACGCTACACAATGCTACTTTGAAGGCCATATTGCAATCTCCGAATGGCCATCTTCAGTGGCGCAGGCACGGAACATGCCCACCGTATTGAAAGGCATAGTGACTTCTCCCGTGGCAGACACGGCAACCAAGCCAGCAGTGCCTCTTGGAACGCCCTCCACAGCATAGGCTGCAGCTTCTTTGAGAGAAAGGCCTTTGAACTCCATGAGAGCCGCCACGTCCCTTGCAACCGTGCTGCGGATCATGGACTCACCTTTCCCCGTAGCGGAAACTGCACAGAGATGGTTGGCGTAGGTTCCTGCTCCTATGATGGGAGTGTCCCCAATCCTCCCAACCATCTTGTTGACGAGTCCCCCAGTGGAAGTTGCAGTGGCTAAATTCCCCTGGCTATCAACTGCCACACATCCAACTGTCCCGAGTTGGCTATCACCGTTCCCTATCAGTTTCTCATTCTTCGGAGCTTTTGCAGTCGGTTCTGTGTAATCAAGCTATGTACAGTTATGGCAGTAAGTAACCATGTCACAGTCAGAGAAGTGTATGAAAACATTGATATCTACTAACTGTATCCTATGCAATTTTTTTTTTAACCCGAGAGGGGGGGAGGGGACAACAAAGAAGTTGCTTATTAAGTTCTGAAAGCTAAGATTGGTAATTGATCAGAAACAGAACATGCTAAAGAAGATACCTGAATTCTGTTCGCTTCTTTTGCTTGCTTTAGCCGTTCAATATTTTCTGCAGTAATGAAATGACTTGAATCCACAGTCTCAACACCCTAGAAAGTTCAGAAAGACAGAACCTTACAAGAAAGTCCAACAAAAAAGTGTAACTTTTAACTTTGTTCTTCAGCTTCTATTGAAGCTTGTACTGCAATGAAGATAAATGTGTCTTTTAACTTTTAACTTTGTTCTTCAGTTATTTGGATTAAACCTTACATATGTCACCTAAATTTGAGGTTAAAATTAATTAATGGATTTTTGGTGCTGCATCAATCCCTGAACTTCTCAAGAGATGACAGTTTGGTCCCTAATCCCTGAACTTAATAATTTTTGTAGTTTTCGTCCTTTGTACTAAAATTGATGATAAATACACTAATCTAATCAGCCAAAACAAAAAAGTAGAAGTACCAAACTGTCACAATGCTAATAATTGCGGGACTAAACACTGATAATCCTAAAACCAACCACGCTAGCAACCAGTTTGTGAGACTGAATTCCGAAAGACTTACTTGTTCCCTTGCAAATGCCTCAGCTCCATCAAATGCAAGGTAGATATGAGGAGTTTTCTCCATGACCAAGCGTGCCAAGGATATGGCATTAACGACGGTTTTGAGACCGGAAACAGCACCGCATTTCTTGGTTTTTCCATCCATAATACATGCTTCCATTTCAACTGTGCCTTCACTGGTTAACACTGATCCCTTGCCAGCATTATAGTGTGGATTGTTCTCAAGTTCACGGACCTAAAAGAAACCATACAAAAAGTGGGGCACTAATCAGAAAAAGAGACCTAGTACAGAGGCCTAACATAAAATCTTCCTTAGGAAAAACCAATTTATACTTTTAACTAGTATGATAAGCGTTGCAGAGCAGGAAAATAAAAAATAAAATACTTAAAACTGATGGAGGATCTTCATCAATTCCTTTTGAAGAAATTTGAATCATAAATATTTTTAACAGCAACTTTTATACACATAAATAATAGGGCTTTTAGCACAATCACCCTCCAAACTTGTCGTGATTTAGTAAATTGCCTCCTAAATTTTTTATTTTGGCAACTAACCCCCAAATTTGTAAATTTATTACAATGTGCCATATTTTACTAAATTTGTTCATATTTATTTGTTAGATTTAAGGAATTAAAAGTTGAGAAATTGAAAGATTTGTGTTACACTTGAATTGTGATGTTGAAATTTTTCGCTGAACATACTTTTTGGACACTAATTTAACACAAATATCATTAAAATGGGGCATATTATAATAAATTTACAAGTTCATGTGTAACTTGCTAAAATTAAAAATTTAAAGGGTAATTTGCTGAACCACGACAAATTTAGAGGAGTAAATGTGCTAAAAACCCAAAATAATATAAAAGTTTACACAAGCACCAGGTACGTTTGTGCATAAATAATAGTATATTATACAAAAGAAGACCAACGGAAAGGAATACTCAATCACAAAATCATCAGATATGGAACTTTCCATATAAAACTCAAGAAATTAAGGATGAATCATGATCTTTCACAACCTCATGCCCTTTGAAAAAAATATAAATAATAACAAAAAGAATAAAAAAGTAAAACCCCAAGATGAAGAAGATGGAATAGATATATATGTATACATCTATATAGGCATGTCAACCACAGACATATATATTACAAATCCGAACATCTGGGCATGGCTCAAACCTGAAATAACCAAATAAAAACACACACACACACACAAACACACACATATATATATATATATATGTCTGTGTGTGTTTGTATCTATATATATGTATGTATATGTATGTATGTGTTTATGTACCACAAGTTCGACAACGTCCAAGGCAGAGTTTCCTGCTTTGAGAGCTTGGACGCCGAGGTGGAGGCAGTGGTGGAGGGCTTCCTCGCGAGGCAGGAGGCGCTCCGGTGGAAGAGCGAGTGGGACGCCGGCGCCACCGTGGAGTGCAATGGCCCACCCCATTACAACCTACCACTCTTTCTTTTCCCACTCACTCACTCACGCACTCTCTCTCTCTCTCTTCTGTGTAGAGTTTCGACTTTGGAGTAAGTGGACTCTCTTGATTATTATTTAGGGTGAGTTTAGTTGCGTTGGAAAATGATGAGAATGAGAATGATAATAATAATAATAATAATGAGAATGAGAATAATAATAATAATAATGATAATAATAATAATAATAATAATTTAATAAAAAAATTAATTTATTTATTTAAGTGTAATTTTAAAAATATAATAAAATGAAATATTTAATACTCG